CGAGCCCAGTGTCTGGCTCAGCACTCAGTGGGGAGTCTGCTTGAAGATTCTCTCCCCCTGCTCTTCCTCCCTCCCTCTAAAACTAAATAAATCTTTTTTTAAAATTACAGTTCAGTGATAGAATTCAAAGAACATTTTGGTTGTAGGATTTGAAATGTATCAGTGAGCTAACTTTCATGAGTTAAAATTTATTTAAGTCAATTAGGAATAGATACACTGCACTGGGTTAATATTGAAGCATCAGAAAATAAAGATAATGAAGGCTCAAGGATACTTAAAAGCTTAATAAGGTGCAGTTAGTTGCACAGACCGCACCAAACTACAGCATTGCTTTGGTCTCCTTTTCATTTTTACAATAGGTTTTAAGACACAGAGCGTGGGCAGAGACCCTAGAAAGTATAATAAGCCCATTCATTGATCCCCTGGTTTGCCAGTGCCATAGTTCTAGTCACAATACACATTTGAAATTCTAAGATCCTGGTGCCAATACTCCTTCAAAAGAGTTGTGACCTTTTTTCAAAACAGCATATTTTCTACCTTTATCATCAAACATTTACTGAGTGCCGACTCTGTAGAAGGCTTAGTGGGGAATACCAGAAATAATAAACATAGTCCCTATATTTTAAAGGTTTTTTGATTCCTTCTGTGCTTTTATATACCTTTTGCCAATGGTAAAAAGCAATCCACTTTCCTTGAAAGGCTCTTTGTGTTTTAAATACTGTAGAATAGGCTGACCTTTATAAATAATTAATAAAGGCACACGGTTGCTGAGTCTCTGTGGCAGGGGAGAGGGCTGAGAAAACTGCAGGCTGTTCCAATGAAGTGTGTAGGTTCTAGCAGTCTGAAAACATTGAAATTCATTCATCATGCTCCAGTCTCTGACCTAGGCACTGAGCATTAAAGACAAACAAATCGTAATTCTGTACGTGGCTCACAATCTCAGGTGGGTATGAGACTCCATTTCTAGTCCGTTAAAATTTAAGGCTGTTTTCTGAAAGTCAAAGCAAAGTTGTAGCATCAGGATTCAGCTATGAAACGAGGGATCATTCTAATTAGCGTGTGCTGCCTAATGTGTGGAATCAAGGTATGCTTTTAGAGAATTTTCGTAGAAACTACTAAAATCAAAGTGAAATACTTACCTGCGGTGTATTCTGATGACACTTAGTGAAATATGAGGGCAGTCAGGACCAGTTGGGGTATAGAATAACCTATACATGGAGAAGGTATAAAATAAAGGTCGATATCACCTTCCCTTGAAATCCAGCTCTTTGTAAATTTGGCTCCAAGTTCCCTTGGGTAATTTTGGAGTGGGAAGGCCACACATTTGTATCAAGAACTTGCTATCTATATATAAGACACGAGGCAGGGAAATTCAGGCATGAGCTTTATACCCAAGGAACCAAGATGGCAGTAAGGCATATGTAAATACCTGTGAGAAAAGGTAGGAAGTGGTAAGCACCGCAAGAGAAATACAAGAGAAACACTGGGAGTTCAGAGGGAAAGAGTATTTCTAGCTGGCAGCCTTTAGCATAGAAGTAAAAGGTGGCTCATGCAATTGTTGGACACAAGATCGTTCCAAGAACAACAGGAACAAGGTAGAGAGACAGGTGCTGACTGTCCAGTGTATACTGCTGTGCGTCATACAGGGGATGAGGAGGGGAAGCGTTCAGACAGGACAAGTGTGGCACTTCCAGCAAAGGTTGAAGCAAACTGGTGGAGGATCTTACTGAGCGAAATGGACTTGATCTTGAGCCAGACTTGCAGCCAAAATAATATTTTCAATTAACATCTTGAGACGATTCACTCCTCCTCATTCTGCTTCAAAAAGAAAGAGAGATACAAGAAAATCAAAATATTATAGCTGTGAGTTCAAAAAGAACAAACATTTCTGGGTACCAGAAAGAGAACCAAAATGCAAAATGGTAATCAGATCAAAGCCACCATAGGTCCCGGACTCTGTATGTGGAAGCAGGAAGACAAGAACTGGGTTCGGCTCTTGAAGAATGACGAAGACTAAGGGCTTTGCCTGTGGCCAGAGACAGGAACCAGGCTTGTAGGAGGCGTTTACATTGGTGGCTTTCAATGAACCACCTTCCAAGAGTCACACTCTCATCTTATTCCCTCCCACACTGGCGGCAGGCTGGGCCGCGTGACTTGGTTGGCCAGCAGGTCATCAGTAAAGGGAAGGCAGCAGAAGCTTAATTAGTAAGTGCTTTTGCACGCACGGATGTCCTAACGGATACTCTCTTCTTGATCGCCTAGGGCTATGCAGCAAAGAAACTCAGGCATGATGCTGAATGATGAAAAACCACCTGGAGAATGAGAGCTTGGGCTTCCACAAAATTAATGAGATACTTCTTTCTTATTTATTCAGTCCCTACTGAATGTAAGACATTGTTTTCACACTGAGGATTATGGGTAAATTAGACAAAATCCAGCTCTTGATGACCAAATGACCAAATCCATTAAGGTCACAATTTTCACCAAACTACTACTTTCCTTGAAAGCCTTAAAATGGGGGCCTCCTGGCTGGCTCGGTCAGTAGCGCATGTGGCTCTTAATCTCTGAGTCATGAGTTCGAGCCCCACATGGGGGATAGAATTTACTTAAAATACATTCTCCAGCCTTGTGGCTTAAATAATCAGGAACATCATGCAGCACTTGAGTGAGTTTACTGTGTTTGCTTTAAGCTCTTGAGGCTTCCCACATATTTTTTATTTTGCAACAAGTTGAGAATTTTCAGTCCACATTCCAAAACTGTTAGTATGAAAAAGACACAGGTGGCAGTAGGCCAGTTACCCACCTCTACCCTGAGGACCAGCCCCATCCCAGCTCAGACGCAGCCTACAGCCCTCGGGGATCCAAGTGCAAATCTCTTGGCAGTTACGGAGGGCTAGGGGTGCAAAGTCAGACAGCAAATAGTATTGTCCCAGCCCAGAATTCTCTATTATATCCCCCATCTAAATGGCAGTTAGGAAGCCGGAGCCACTAACCAAAACACAGTTTTTAGGTGGTTTTAGGGGAGATCCAGGAATCCAGCATAAGCCAAGAACTTTGCTCACAGTCATGCTTCTCTCTTTCAGGATGATCCCTTTAATTTATAAATTACATTGTATTTTTCAAATTGTTTTCACGTATGTTAACTCAGGTGAAGTTAGCAACTCTGAGAAGGAGATGGGATTATCCCCCACATTTGACAGGTGTGGAAACTGAGGACCCATAGGGTTTCTCAGCCTCTTAATGAGGTGAGGTGACAGAGCCCGTGCTTGGATTTAGACTCTCTTTATACCAAAGATGAGCAAAGTGACTCTTTCGTGCAGTGTCTGCTGTCTGCTGCCCCAGCTCTCAACGGAATTTGACCAACAGCTACAGAGGAGGAGAGACTGGTAGGAATCAAATGAAGGAATACAGCTAGGAGTTGAAGCTGATGCGTTATGTACAAGCCCTTTCAGAAGGCCAGGAATCAAACAGTGAAACCAGAAGGAAGAAGGCGCTTTGGGTTGAAGGTCATAAGGCAGGGACAAGAGGAACAGTGACAGGAGAGGAATGACTGGGCCAACGCCAGCAAAGGACAGCCATGATAATGGCGGCACGCTGGGGACTGGTCCCAAGCCAGCTCCAGATCAGTCGTGTCCCCAGGGCAGGGACTGAGAACTAAAGCCAGGAAAGGAGCAGGGGTCCAGAGCCACAGGCCACAGAGGACTTGCGTGAAGGGGAGGAGAATTCAGGAACTGCTTAGGGACCAAGAGAGGAAGGGCAGGGATTTGGGCCAGGGTCCAACAATTCCACTGTGCGCATCAGAAACATCATCATCTTCCCCCTTGTTATTGTCCAGCTTGGGTCACACAAATTTGATCAGGAGCGTTTCCAGTTGTAAGGAGGTCGCAGTGTATGGAGAGAGAAGCGTGAACACAGCCCTTTCCAAAAGTCTGCAATGAAGTGTTGTAATAGATTGTGGATCTATCTTTCTATTTCTGCAAGATGCTAGGGAGGGAGTTATTTGCTAAATAATTTAATTCTGTGCACTAACATTTTAATTTGCCAAAAGGCTTAATACCCATAAAGCTGCCTTCATTCTGGTTTGCCAAACATGCAGTAAAGTCAGAAACGTGCAGTAAAGAGAGAAGAATTCCTTAGCCACGAGAGGGGAGATGTGAACAACCAGAGCATGAGGGCACAGAGTTGGAGCTGGAAGCAGCTGGAAGATGTAAGCTTTCAAAGACATCAGGGGTTATCACTGGACTCTCCTTCATCACGAGACACGGGTCAAGTGAAATCAAATTGAATCTCAAAGGAAAGAGAGATTTCAAGCTAATTCTTGGGTCACATTTGCTTCATCTCATTCATTCATTCATTCATTCAGAGGTTAGTTACCTGTGAGAGAGAGAGAATGCGAGCGCGAGTGAGGGGTGGGGCAGAGGGAGAAGCAGACTTCCCTACTGAGCAGGGGGCCAGATAGACGGAAGTGGGGCTCCGACTGGGGCTTGATCCCAGGACCCCAGGATTATGACCTGAGCCCAAGGCAGACACTTAACTTCACTGAGAATCTTAAACATTCTGAGAGCTGCTCCCTGGGCTTCCCCAAACTGACATCAAGTTTTTTTGTGCCCATGTCTCTCCCCATCCCTCCCCCTTCTCAATTCCTTTCTCTCTTTAAAACATGCTATTGCCTTTGGCATAAAACGTAGAGTGATACGATATTAAATAACACAAAATCTCATGGCCTGAATAATGGTGTTTATTTTCTTTAAATACACTTAAATATGAAACAACAGAACAGTGATGCAGTAAACTCAAAACTACAAGCTGGACAGTCATCAGAAAATCAGTGCTGATCCCACAAAATCAAAATCTGCATAATATAGAGTCAGAATAATTCACAAGAGAGTTGCATTAGCAAAGGATTTGGAGACTATAAAATTATCTCATCGGCTTTGAGCAGTCAATCACATGGCCCCGCTGATTCTAGGATGATCAGACCTTTTTCATTCATTAGGGAAAAAAAAAAAGGTTCACCCAGGTTCCCTCCTCTCCATTCTCCTTGTGCAGGGGCATGGTCAGTTGGAAGACATCTGTCAGTGAGCCAGGGCAGGGAATCCTCAGCTGGTGTGTAATGGAAGAGTGGTCTGGATTCACTGTGGGACTGGGTAAAATGGACCTTTTTCTAGTACCTGGGGAGGGGAGGAGTGACAGCAACTTGGCAAAGCAGCACGCTATTTAAAATGTCAGGGTTGGGGAACTTCAGAACAAAGTTGAGTCAAGGATTTTCTTGACTGTGGAGCCCATAGGCAGCTTTCTTCTCTTTTGGAAAGCGGCAATGCTTCGCACATGCTGGTTTTCCATTTGCACATGTTCTGGTGTGAAAGGGACATCTGTCCTCACAGCTGTTGTGAAAGAAAATAAACACGAGAGTTCCGAATCAAGGACTACATTCAAAGGAATAACTCTGTTCTGATTTGATTATGTTTTCCAAGTGAATTTTCCAGATATGTATTTAAAATGTCAACATAAAATCCTGAATGGTTATTCCACATGGATGCAAAAATCTATGAAAGGCCAAACAGTAACCCATAAGGGTTCTATTTATCAACAAATTTCTTGTGATATAAATCCAGTGCCATCACCTTCTTCAAAGAAAAAAGCAAAAAGCAAAAAAAAAAAAAAAACCAGAGGTGGACATATATTGAGAGAGATGGAACCAAAGAGTCTGCTGATTTGAAACTCAGCCCCCAAAATGATTGTTTAAATCTCATCAATTAAAGTTTTTGCTAAAGATCCATACCCAACAATAGCAGGCAGGATTTTCTTTTTTTTTTTTTTTTAAGATTTATTTATTTATTTGAGAGAGGGAGTGGATGGGCAGAGGGAGAGAGAGAGAGAGTCTCAAGCAGGCTCCCCGCTAAGCACAGAGCCTGACACGGGGCTTGATCCCAGGACCCCACGATCTGGACCTGAGCCGAAACCAAGAGTCAGCTGGTTAACCAACTAAGCCACCCAGGTGCCCCATGACTGTCTTGCTTTCACAATTCATCATCACTCTATATACTCTCACTTTGTCCTTAGTTGCCAAACCTCTGTTTTACTATCTAAAAAAGGGGCTTGGGCACTGCAAACAATGCCTCAACAAGAAATGTCACCACATCAAAAGAAAGGGCATTCACACTCAATGTCAATGGGTCAAATGAAGGTGAAAGTGAAAATGCACTTGACCTGCAGGTGTCTGCGTGAAATATCTTGTGCTTCTGGCAGCAGCTCTCCAGGCTCTCTCTGCACTCCAGGCAGCTGCAGTTTTCTGGGTGCTGGATGAGATCTCTGGGACATGGGGTCTTACAGACACACTCACACCGATCTTCATCAAACTTCATGTGTGGCCCGCAGAGAGCCAGTTCCTGGAGATGAGAGTGGTCTAGACGGAAAAAGAAAAGGGTTGCTTGAATGGCTGCAGCACGGATCATATGGCATTGAAGTTGGCTGTATACTCTCCATTCGTGGGAAAATAACTTGGATTCTCCTCATCTCCTTTCCTATCAATTTTTGCTTCTCCTCTTTCCACGCAGTGAAGGAGGTTCACCTCTGATTTCATAATACAAACACCGAATGCATGTGTTCTCTTACGTTTGTGAGAAAGAGGTTTTGAGCTGAATATTTTTGATCGGATTTTTAAAGAGATTTTTTGGTTGGTGGGTGACTTGTTACACAATGCAATCTTTCACAACCAAGTATTAGGAATAAAACATAGGATAGCTAAGAATTATGAGGCTGATCCTTCCTAGTTTTGAGGCAAAGACTAAAAGGAGGGAGGAACAGAGGTATTGGCATGATAGAAATACACCTTAGACCTTCCAAGCTGTGGATAGAAAGAGTGATGTATTTCCTCACCACAGATCACAGTGCTGTTATTAAAAGATACACCAGTGATAATAAACTTTGATTCCACAGACATCTGTTGGAAGAATATGTTCAGCTGAGAGGAGGGTCTGAGAGATTTTTAACACACTTGGTTGACAGCTATTTCTTCTAAAGAGTGTACACAATTGGGTAACTATTACTCCATGTTCAATTCTGATCATCAAGTTGAGATCTAGTCAACTTGGAAGGAAATGGAAGCGATAGAAACTTGGGAAGAACTTGACTGTGACATCTTTCTTAAAGGTTCTGGAGGCAAGTATGTGGTTAGCTTCTTCCCCAAACCCACTTCTTTCCAAACCTACCTCATTTAGGGAATGATGCCATCAATCCCGACTCTCCTGCCATATTGGGTCTCATCGCTTTGTCCATCCAGTTCTGCCATCCTGAATTTGTTCTATCATTTCCATCAACACTGTCACAGATCTTGCTATCACAAGTTTTATCCCTTCTATCCATTTTCCACAATATTATCAAATGTAAATCTACTCACATCGTTCTACTGCTTTAAGTTCCTTAAAAGGTTCCCAATTGAAAAAAACGGTTTACCCACCAGGACATATGAGACCCTAGATCTTACTAACCTCCCAGACTCATGTCTCTCCCTCTCACCTTCCGCTTCCATATATATCCTGTGTTCCATCCGTACCAAATTGTACTACTTTTTGTTCCCCTGATATGCCAGGATCTCTCAACCCCATGCTTTTGGCCTTGCCTTTCTCCTTGCCCATCATCTTTCTCCCCCAGTATCTTTCCCAACTTCTATAAGTTCAGCTAAGTGCCCTTGCCCTCTGCATATTTCCATCCTGTCCTTTCTTACACTGCTTACATTTGTCCATTTCCTTGATGAATTAAAAGATGCTGAAGGTTATAGGAACCAGATCTCATCATTCTGACATAAAATAGGCACATGATAAATGTTGAGTTCATCTGCCGTAATAAAAGGGTCTGAAACAGGCAGATATACAAAGACTCTGAAGAATTCCATCCATCGTTCCAAGACATTGGGTTAAACCATGTGTTCTAGTCAATATCTGACTACTGATAGTATATCAAAATGGCAATCTCAGGTTGTCTAATCTCATAGTTTTAACTTCTCTTTGGTTGATGATATTCAAGGAACCATGTGGAAAGCGTGTTGGAAGGCCAGATCTGGGGAGATTCTTGGAGTTGTGTGAAGAGGAAAAAGGTAATCTTTATAAGCCATATGCCAATGAGGCATATGTCACTTTGGGGCAAGATGAGAATACATTGTTCCCATTGGATAGTTTTTCCTGCTTTGTCAAAGATTAATTGACTGTATAATTGTGGGCTCATTTCTGGGTTTTCTATTCTGTTCTGTTCATCTATGTGTCCATTTCTGTGTCAGTACCATACTATTTTGGTGACTATAGCTTTATAATATAACTTTAAGTCTGGAATTGTCTATTGATTGATAAATGGATAAAGAAGAAGTGGTATATACATATACCGTGGAATATTATTTGGTCATAAAAAAGAATGAAACCTTTCCACGTGCAATGACGTGGATAGAGCTAGAGAGTATAATGTTACATGAAATAAGTCAGGCAGAGAAAGACAATGACCCTATGATTTCACTCACATATGGAAAGTAAGAAACAAAACAAGCAAAGGGGAAGAAAAGAGGGAGAGAGACAAACCAAGAAACAGACTCTTAACTCTAGAGAACAGACTAATGGTTACCAGAGGGGAGGTGGATAGGGGGTGTAGGGGAAAACAGGGGATGGGTATTAAGGAGGGCACTTAACGTGATGAGCACCAGGTGACGTGAAATTCAGAAGAATTGCTGAATCACTATATTGCACACCCAAAACTACTATAACAGTGTATATTAACTATATTGGAATTAAAATAAAAACTAAAAACAAAACAAACCGATTATTAAAGGATAGTTAAGTAGTTCTTAAAAGACCCATATGAATCACTAGGTGGCGGTAGAGATTCATTTAGACCCCTTAGAGTAGCACCAACGCCCTTGAGTGGTTTAGGGAAACAGTCCACTAAGCGTTTGCTGAGGTAGTTGGCAGAGGCTGGCCACAATCCCTACAGGCATTAGTTAAAAGCAACAGAGACTGGGGGACTTGGCCAGCTCAGGCTATAGAGCATGTGACTCTTGATCTCAGGGTCATGAGTTCGAGCCCCACTTTGGTGTAGTGATTACTTAAAAAAAAAAAAAGTAACAGAGACTGGGTGTAGGAGAACTGTGTGAAGCAGCAACTAGCCAAGGGTGATACCCGAAACTATTATATACTGATTTCAAGCCTAGGGAGGTTGATGATGGAATGCTACGAGTTCTGTTCCCAGCCTTGTTTCATTCATCATTTTTATCAATAAGCTCGTGGATTTTTTTCCAAATAAATTCTTAAAGTTGTGGCTACCTTGAAGAATTTAAAATATAACATAAGGACTCCCCAATTTTCCTTTTTTCTTTTAGGCTATTGTTTGTTGTAACACTTTAAAGCTATCATCTGAATCCAATGAGATGAAATTAAACTGGTCTTGGATTCACTAAGCCACATGCACTCGTTCAAGAAGAGAAGTCATTGTAGATGTAGAAAAAGCAGTTGGCTTAACCGCCACATGTGTGCAAAGGGTGTTTAGTGAACAGTAAACTCAGTGTATGTCATCAGTTTGATGAGCTTACTGGAGGAGTGACCGTGAACTAGCTACCCCATGTCTCTTGCTTCTATCACGGTGACCACGTCCCCAAAGGCCCTTGCCTCCTTTCCTACCCTGGGCCGACACATCCTCTTCTACCCTGTCACTGGCTGATTGTGTTAAAATTCAAATCGGTGCTTCCTTGGGGCTCCTGGGTGGCTCCGTCCATGAAATGTCTGACTCTTGGTTTCAGCTCATGGTTCGTGATCTCATGGGTCATGAGCAAGAGCCCCTGGTGTGCTCCGTGCTCAGTGGTAAGTCTGCTTGAAGATTCTCCCCCCGCCCCTCCCCCAACTCAGGAGCTTATGTGCATGCATGCGTGCTCTTTCTCTTTCTCTAAATAAATGAATCTTAAAAAAATTTCTAATTGGTGCTCTCGCTCTCCTGCTTGAACGAGATGAGGGGTTCCCTTTGCCTTAGCATCACATCCAATGTTTGGGACAAGATGCCCAACGTCCCCTGTGAACCTCTCCAGCTTCCTCTCTCACATCCACCCGGCCCCCTCCCATTATGTTCCCACCAGGCTGAACATCTTTCAGCATGCTGACCTGCTACCTTCTCTCACTTCCTGTCCTGAGCACTCATGTTGCTCCTGCTCAGAGCACTTCTCTCCTTCCCGACCCCCCCACTCTTCCCACCCTAGGCACACACAAGCAAGCGCCCGCTGAGTCTCTCCCCAGGACAGCTCATTTAGGAATTGTATACCGAGAACATGCTGAAATGATTCTATTTTGATATGTTAGATTAAATAAAAAGATATAAAAATTAAACTGACTTGTTCCTTTTGACCTTCTTAATGTGAGTACTACAAAATGTGAGTCACATCTGTGACTCTTACTGTCATTCCATTGAACAGTCCTGTTCTGGAAAGACAGACTGAGGTTCAATATGGTTTAGTAACCAACAAGGGTGAGCCCAGGGTACCTGGGCTGCCTCGGTGGGTGGCAGGCTTCCCCGGGACTGAGGTATACTCTAGCAGAGGATAATCTCAACACTTGGTGGGAAGGATGTAGACCACATTCAGGACCAGCATGAGCTTTCAGGAAAACATTTAGGAGGAAGCGGAGAGACAGAAGTCTAGAAAATGGAATGTTATTTATGGTTTCTCGGACAGCATTGCATAGAGTAGTTTAGTCCTTACAGAGTCTGGCTTGTAGATCAGCTTAAAACAAGCAAGGTTCAAAGCGCATGACTCCTTGTGATTTTTTTTTTTTCCCAGTGGAATTCTGTCATGTTTTCTGGGAAAGAAATTTTAACAATGCATCCATTTTCAGCCAGAGTCGTCATCAAACGTCACAGCACTGTGACTTTGAGCAGTGATGGGATTGGCTTCCCAACTCCTCTCAGCCCATTAGCTAGCTGTGTTTTGCTTTTACTTTGCCCTAGTTTCAGAAAAAGTTTTCTCCGACTCCCCATTTTTTCCCCCTCAAGTAATTGGCCTGTTTTCACATGCCACTGTTGAAAGAAACCAACAAGTCTAAAATTACTTTATGTTCCTGTGAGACTTTTAAACAAATAAATTAGTAACATGTGGTTGACTAGTGTTGAGTTTGGAGTGGCTTTCATGAAAGGCTGCCATTGCCTTTCAAACCCAGTGTTGGGGGTTGCTCTAATCCCCAGGCTTTTCTTTAAGATTGAAAGAGTCCTGCATTGGAATTATACTTAACTGTATAATGAGAGCAGAGAGGGCTCTGGGACCTGACTGCTTCTGTCACTCTTAGAGGTGTAATCTGGAGAAAATGACAAGACATCTTGGTGTGTCCATTTTGTCATTGTAAAAAAAGGGATAATAATAGTACATTACGGGGGCGCCTGGGTGGCTCAGTGGGTTAAGCCTCTGCTTTCGGCTCAGGTCGTGATCCCAGGGTCCTGGGATGGAGCCCTGCATTGGGCTCTCTGCTCGGCAGGGAGCCTGCTTCCTCCTCTCTCTCTGCCTGCCTCTCTGCCTCCTTGTGATCTCTGCTTGTCAGATAAATAAATAAAATCTTAAAAAAATAATAGTACATTATGGATTGTTGCGAGGATCAAATGAGTTAATACATCGAAAAGTCTTACAACATTGCCTGGTCACTGTAAGCACTTGGTAGATGTGAGTTACAATTGTTATTTTTATTATTACTGTTATTATTTCCTTACTGTCATCGTTACCTTCCATTCCAACTAGTGGATTCTCCTCCTGTAAAACACATTTGCATTTGTCGCTGTCCCACAGCATGTCAATAGGACAGAGTTTCTTAGAATGGGAGCAGCTAGGAAAAGAAAACAATAAACCAGATTTAAAATCTTTCAAGGGTAATCACACCTTTGTGGCATTTTTTTAAAAAAAGACTGAATACATTTCTGAGGGGAGAATAGTTAAGGTTTTTAAGGAGCTTAATCCATATTTATGAACTGCTTGTGTTATTAGACAGCAAATCCGTAAGCACAAATACTCTATTTGGGAACTAAACTGTAATTTTGGACAGTTATAATCTTTTTAAGAAGGCTGCTGTTAAAACTGTGCAAATTAGCTGTCACAGCTCTTAAACACTTCCTTCTTTAAGATGGAGATAAGGGGCAACTGGGTGGCATAGTTGGTTGGGTATCTGACTCTGGATTTTGGGGTCAAGTCGTGATCTCAGGGTCATGAGATCGAGCCCATGTGGGGCTCCACGCTGGGCGTGGTGCTTGCCTAAAATTTTTTCTCTCCTGCTTTTCCTCCTGCCCTGCACACATGCTTGCTCTCTGTCAAATAAATAAATAAAACTTTAAAAATAAAATGTAGATAAGAGCACTGGCGAGGACAGCAGGAACACAAGGATAAGCAATCTTTCCCCAGGAGCTTTCGTTTGTGCTTGAGAGCGACAGAAGTGTCTTCTTGGCTGGGTAATAACTAACATAAGTACCAGCTCAGTCCACTTACCACTCGTTCAACACATTTACTGCTCCACTTCTGCAAGATCGAAGTATCTAGCTTACTCACTTTAGATTTTCATTCAGCAGCGCCTACCCTTGCTTTCTCTTTATGGAATTCCTTCCTCCTCCCTCCCCACAAATCCGTGATTCTTACCTTAGATTTCAGGACATCAGGGTGTCATAATTTGTTTCATAAAGAACTACAGACTACTCTCAAGAAATTTCAAAGTCAAATCAATTTTAAGCCATTTTAATTAAAAATAAGACTTTTCCATTTGGGACTCAGAAGAGGAAAGTCAGAATAATCACAAAACACAGATGCAGACAGTTTTGTCACCCTCAGGGACTTTGGGAACCTTCCCCCCACTCCCCCCACCTGCCAATTTGGGGACTTACAAGGATAGACTGCCGGAAATGAGTTCCATGTAATGCTTGTTCTGGAATAGGGACATGTGCCAAAGCTAAGGCTGAAGAAGAATTATACAATTCCACTGGACTATGAATATTAAGATCGAAGCTCTCAGGGTATCTGGGTGGCTCAGTCAGTTAAGTGTGTGACTCTTGTTTTCGGCTCCGGTCATGATCTCAGTGTCATGAGATCAAGCCCCGCATGTGGCTCCATGCTCAGCTTGGAGTCTGCTTGAGTTTCTCTCTCCCTCTCCCTCTACTCCACCCCCCATCCGCCCATGCTCGCTCTCTCTTTAAAATAAATAAATCTTTAAAAAGAAAAAAAAGGTGTCTAGGGGTGCCTGGGTGGCTCAGTTGGTTAATTACCTGACTCTCGATTTCAGCTCAGGTCGTGATCTCAGGTGGTAAGATCGAGCCCGGCATCAGGCTCCACACTGGGCGTGGGCATGGAGCCTACTTGAGATGAGCTCTCTCCCTCTCCCTCTGCCCCTCTGTCCCCTACCCCACCCCCTGATCTCACATGCAGGCATGTACTCTCTCTCTTAAAAAATAAAGAAAGAAAAAAAGAAAGAAAGAAAGAAAATAAGAATAAGAATTATTTTTTAAAAGATTACAATAATGAAGTTATTTTAAATATTTAATTATTTTAATTATTTAAAATAATTAAATTTGATTTAAAATAATTTAAAAATTATTATTTTACTTAGAGATTTTATTTATTTATTTGACAGAGAGAGATCACAAGTAGGCAGAGAGACAGGCAGAGAGATAGAAAGGGAAGCAGGTTCTCTGCTGAGCAGAGAGCCCGATGCGGGACTTGATCCCAGGACCCTGGGATCATGACCTGAGCCAAAGGCAGAGGTCTTAACCCACTGAGCCACCCAGGTGCCCCTAAAAATTATTTTTAAAAAGAGCAAAGGTGTCTGTAAGTGGATGGGTAAGTTCATAACCACTGAGCTTTTTGGTCCTAATGCAATATCTATCTAACACCTCATTAAGGAAGAATTCTCCACATACAACTTAAGCAAACTCAAGAACAAGCATAACTGAATACAAGAAGGGCTTACTGATCTTCTTCCGGGATCTGGATGGATCTTCTGATAATAGTGTATGGATGGCGGGGAGCCGTTGGCAAGCACTTACAACCTGTATGGTTGGCAACTTTAACAGGCACTAATTCAGGTACGGAAGTCAAAGGCACTGATATCTCAAACAGCTAGAAGAGAGAAAGAACCACAACACATATATATTTTTAGATAATAATTTCTATAGTCTGCATTTTTGCCTTTGTCCTTTATGGGAGTGACTTTGGCAAAGCTGTCCATTAACAACAGAACTAATAAGGATAAGGGCTGGCATGATGAAAAGGATGCTGGGCTGGGAATCAGGACACTGGGCTTACGCAACTTCATCAAGTATTTAAGCCTAACCAAGTCTCTTAACTTTTTGGTGTCACTGGTACCCCTGTAAAAAGCACTGTTGGTATCTGCTTCTGTCTTTAATTTGAGTGTAAATTATACAGACTGAGTGAAATTATAGCTATGACATTTGAGACCATGGTGAATAGATTATTGTCCAAAACTCTTTACTTATTCTTTCTCATACCATCTCCACTGAAGGAACAGTTCCCTGTTCGTTGACTTTGGACGTGGCTATGTGACTTCCTTTGGCCAACAGGATACTAGCAGACATGACACAGCTACAAACTTGAACTGTGTGTGCTTTTTGGGCTCATTTTCTCCTGCGTATGCTGTGGCCATGAGAAGAGCATGATTTGGCAGGTGTGCTGGGCCAAGGGATGAGAGACTCAGGGAACAGACCTGCACATAACCTGTAGCCTGGAGTCAAGCCCACTCCAAACTAACTGATCTTTGAATACATGGGTAAGAATAAGTTATTATTGTTTGAAACCACATTTTAGGGTGTATATTATACAGCATTACCCAGTAATAAGTGGCTGATACAAGATCACCATGCTCAACCAGATACTATAGGTAACACGAACATCATTCTTTCTAGGTTTCTATATGCCAGGTCCTATTTTATATTCATTCATTTACCCCTTATAACAACATTATAGGGTGGGTTTTTTCTTTATCTACCCCCAACTCTATGGGCAAAAAACCCAGATGTACAGAGAGGTTACATAACATGCCTAAGGCCACATAACTATTTATTGGAAGAGTAGGGATTTGAATTCAGACAGTCTGCTCCAGAGCCAGAGGTGATACTCTTAGGAATATGCCTTATTGGGGCACCTGGGTGGCTCAGTCATTAAGCATCTGCCTTCAGCTCAGGTCATGATCCCGGGGTCCCAGGATTGAGCCCCGAGTTGGGCTCTCTGCTTGGTGGGAGGCCTGCTTCTCCCTCTCCTACGCCCTCTGCTTGTGTTCCCTCTCTCGCTGTGTCTCGCTCTGTCAAATAAATAAATAAAAGCTTAAAAAAAAAGAATATGACTTTTTGGAACAAAATGTCTGTGACCTGAAGAAGCAAGATGGGATCCTGCCAAGTAGAAGTCAGAGAAATGTCAATTACTTTGTTTTTAGACTGGTTCTAGGGTGCCTGGATAAATTTGAACTTGATTTTAGTGTTCTGTTCAATCAGTCCCCATTCCATGTAGTCCTAACTATGCAGAGTATTCATTTATTCACTTAGTTTCAAAGGTGTATTTCATCAAACAGTCCATTACTTTGGGGTGAAGGTAGTTTTTTTAAGCCACTATTAAAATGTTCAAGTGTGCATATTTGGAACAGAAAACTTCTGTAGACTTACACTTAAGTACGTTCTTTAAAACTAATTATTTGTTGAGTACAAGAGTCAAAATAAAGTACTCAAGTCTCTATTAAGTGGAAACAATCCATTAAAGTTGTGTTTATTCTGACCCTTTGATATGTGTTGGACCCTTTATGAGTCTAAGTAAGAAAATGTTTTTAGAGTGTTTACTTTGCATAAACTTCATATCCTTGCGAAATTTTTCAGCTATGCTTTAGGGAATAACATGGTCATGAACCAAAGCCTCTTATGTTATGCAAGCTTGTTTCTACTGATAGTTGGTGCTTAGCCATATTTACGTCACTTTCCCCCCAATTGTCAAATAGTGAGAGGTCAAATTTTTTACAAGTTCCAAGATTCTCTAAAAGAATTTGGGGAAAAAACTGAACAGTTTGTAGAATATTTTAGGAGGTAGGGGGAACAAAATTAAGGATAAGTTCAACTATTATCAAATCAGCATTCCATTCTTTCTACCAATAAGAAAAAATTCCTCTAAAAAAATGTGGGGTGGGGGGGACACGCTGGGTAGCTCAGTTGGTTAAGCATCTGACTCTTGATTTCGGCTCAGATCATGATCTCATGGTCCTGAGATCCAGCCCTGCACTGGTCGCCGCACTGGATGTGGAATCTGCTGGAGAGTCTCTCTCTCCCTCTGCCCTTCCCCTTCCTTGTGCCCTCTCTAAAAAAATTTCTTTTTTTTTTAAAAGATTTTATTTATTTGATGGAGAGAGAGATCACAAGTAGGCAGAGAGGCAGGCAGAGAGAGGGGGGGAAGCAGGCTCCCCACTAAGCAGAGAGCCCGACGCGGGGCTCGATCCCAGGACCCTGAGATCATGACCTGAGTCGAAGGCAGAGGCTTAACCCACTGAGCCACCCAGGCGCCCCTAAAAAACTTTCTTAAAAAAGATAATTTCCTACCGTGGATATATATTCATTGCGTATGTCATTTTATTATTCTACCTCTGTTCACAAACAGAGAATAGATGGCATCTGGAATGTGACCAAGTGAATGAATGCCTGAGCGCGCATGAGGAACATGTGACACAGAAGTAAACAGAATGCGGTCGGACTTATAGCCTGTTAATATCTTTTCCTACGTTTGTTATTACTGCTCTTCAATGCAACATTTTTTACACCTGACAACAATATGGTAGTGATAGAAAGAAAAACTTACCTATTGGGCAAAAGAGATTTTACAAGATGGAGAGGGAAGAATGATTTCTTTCATGGGGGCTACAGACTACTTTTCAAAGATCTTTTGCGCTATGTGCACTCCATTTGCCCCTCCAGAGATGCCACCCTCTCTCCTTCCTCTCCCACCAGGTTCTGGGTCTAAAGATGCTGACCCCCATGTCTCCATCTAGAGGTCCCCCTGCCCCCCCCAAATGCTTGCTGCCACTCCTCCAACCCGTCTAGCAACCTCTTCTCCCCTTTCTCTCTGTGTTCCCGAACTGCTCCAGCCTCTTCGGCCCAAGGATGGCAAGAGCTCCCCGCTCTTGCTAGCACTGGGTACTTCCCAGCCCTTTCTCCTTCCCATAGCCCTGCCCACACCACCCATCCAACTCTTCTGTGTCGCTCCCCTTGAACAACACAGCCCCCAACGGATACACAAGGCAGTGCAGATGTCTTCATTCCTTTTATCGTCTGTTCTAGTGAACTCCCATGTGATTTTCTGATTCTTGACATTATAGCATCAGAGAGACAGGAGCTGATAAGCCGTTCAGGCCCTGGAGTTGCACAGGCCTGGATTAGAGTCCCAGCTCTGCCCCAGGTTAGCTCCCTGAGCTCAGACAGAGGCGGATAATAGGCTACCCTCTGAGCTGGGTTCGGGAATTAAATGAGATCATGCCCACAGGGCATTTAGCCCAGCACCAAGCCTAGCTGTAGCTGTCAACACGCCTGTCCTCGGGGCTTCGTAAGGGCCACACTGGCGAGTGTCCACCTACCTGCTTAGAAACGTAGGAGGTGCTCGTGTTCATACAGACGAGGCTCTCTTCATTGCAGCAGCCACCGCACCGGAACACGCTGACACAGGGTGGCTTGAAGAAGGTGTTGGTGCTCCTCCCAAGCTCGCTGGCCACCTCCACGCACGTCTCTCGGGGGCTGCACTGAGTCCGCTGCCATTCCTCATCTATAACTGCGGAGAGGAAGCTCCTGGGGGCCGGCCCCGGAAATGGCCTTGACAGGCCAGTGCGCGCCAAGGTCAGGCCGCACACGGTCATGTTCACGTGTGCAGGGCTGGTTATTTTATGAGATGGATATTTTCTGTCCATCCCCTAGCGAAAGACTGTTTTCAGAAAAATCAAAACCAAAATCTGTGCTCCTTCCCAAATATGCAATACCTTCTCTGGCGAATAACACCATCTCTGGTATAAAACTACACTGAGTACCTCCGGAAAAGCTGCCTAGTAAGGAGGTAAACAGAAGCATGCAGAGAAATAACGTGTAAGTGGCATTTGTTAAGCAATTTAAGGACACAGCTGGATAGCTTATCTTCCACTTGAAGTCAAGTGTGGGTAGGTCTCACACTGTCAAGAAAAACATTTCTGTTGGTTGTTTCAGTAACCACGGTAGGATTCAAAGTGGGTCAGTTACATGAATGGAAATTTAAGTGGAACTAATCTTTCCTCGAGCGGGGGTTTTTTTCATGGGCGAGTGCCTAATACTGATGTTTAAGTAAATAATTGAATAGGCCAGTTCCTTTTGATGGCAGGGCCAATACTCTGGCCATTCTAGTGAATATGAGAGAAACAAGAAAAAGAGACAAGCCTCTGGGAATAAAAATATTACCTACTATAGTACTAGAGGGCTTTGTCTCGGCAATCAGACAACAAAAAGAAATAAAAAGCATCTGAACCGGCAAAGAAGAAGTCAAAATCCCACTTTTTGCAGACGACATGATGCTTTATGTGGAAAACCCAAAAGACTCCACCCCAAAACTGCTAGAACTCATACAGGAATTCAGTAAAGTGTCAGGATGTAAAATCGATGCACAGAAATCAGTTGCATTTCTCTACACCAACAGCAAGACAGAAGAAACAGAAATTAAGGAGTCTATCCCATTTACAACTGCATCCAAAACCATAAGATACCTAGGAATAAACCTAACCAAAGAGGCAAAGAATCTGTACTCAGAAAACTATAAAGTACTCATGAAAGAAATTGAGGAAGACACAAAGAAATGGAAAAACGTTCCATGCTCAGGGATTAGAAAAACATATATTGTGAAAATGTCTATGCTACCTAGAGCAACCTACACATTAATGAAATCCCTATCAAAATATCATCAACTTTTTTCCAAAGAAATGGAACAAATAATCCTAAAATTTGTATAGAACAAGAAAAGACCCTAAAAAGCCAGAGGAATGTGGGAAAAGAAACCAAAGCTGGTGGCATCACAATTCCAGACTTCAAGCTCTATTACAAAGCTGTAAACATCAAGACAGTATGATACTGGCACAAAAACAGACACATAGATCCATGGAACAGAATAGAGAGCCCAGAAATGGACCCTCAACTCCATGGTCAACTAATCTTCAACAAAGCAGGAAAGAATGTCCAATGGGGGGAAAAAACAGTCTCTTCAATAAATGGTGCTGGGAAAATTGGACAGCCATATGCACAAGAATGAAACTGGACCATTTCCTTATACCACACACAAAAATAGACTCAAATGGAAAGACCTAAATGTGAGACAGGAATCCATCAAAATCCTTGAGGAGAACACAGGCAGCAGCCTCTTCAACCTTAGCCGCAGCAACTTCTTCCTAGAAACATCACCAAAGGCAAGGGAAGCAAGGGCAAAAATGAACTATTCGGACTTCATCAAGATCAAAAGCTTTTGCACAGCAAAGGAAACAATCAACAAAACCAAAAGACAACAAATAGAATAGGAGAAGATATTTGCAAATGACATATCAGATAAAGGGCTAGGATCCAAAATCTATGAAGAACTTATCAAACTCAACACACAAAGAACAGATAATCCAATCAAGAAATGGGCAGACATGAACAGACATTTCGGCAAAGACGACATCCAGATGGCCAACAGACACAGGAAAAAATGCTCCAGATCACTCAGCATCAGGGAAATACAAATCAAAAGCACAATGAGATCACACCAATCAGAATGGCTAAAATTAACAAGTCAGGAAATGATAGATATTGGCGAGGATCAGAGAAAGGGGAACCCTTCTACACTGTTGGTGGGAATGCAAGCTGGTGCGGCCACTCTGGAAAACAGCATGGAGGTTCCTCAAAAAGTTGAAAATAGAGCTACCCTATGACCCAGCGATCACACTACTGGGTATTTACCCTAAAGATACAAATGTAGGGATCCAAAGGGGTACGTGCACCTGAATGTTTATAGCAGCAATGTCCACAATAGCCCAACTATGGAAAGAGCCCAGATGTCCATCAACAGCTGAATGGATAAAGAAGATGTGGTCTATATATACAATGGAATACTGTGCAGCCATCAAAAGAAATGAAATATTGCCATTTGCAATGACGTGGATGGAACTGGAGGGTATTATGCTGAGCAAAATAAGTCAATCAGAGAGAGACAATTATCATATGATCTCTCTGATATGAGGAAGTTGAGAGGCAACATGGGGGGTTAAGGGGGGTAGGGAAGGGAAAAATGGAACAAGATGGGATTGGGAGGGAGACAAACCATAAAAGACTCTTAATCTCACAAAACAAACTGAGGAATGTTGGGGGGTGGACGGGTAGGGATAGGGTGGCTGGGTGATGGACACTGGGGAGGGTATGTGTTATGGTGAGTGCTGTGAAATGTGTAAGCCTGATGATTCACAGACCCGTAGACCTGGGGCAAATAATACATCATATATTAATAAAAATAATTTAAAAAATAAAAAATAAAAAAGTTGAAAACAGAGCTACCTTATGACCCAGCAATTGCACTACTGGGTATTTGACCTAAAGATACATATGTAGTGACCCGAAGGGGCATGTGCACCCCAATGTTCATAGCAGCAATGTCCACAATTACTAAACTATGGAAAGAGCCTAGATATCCATCAACAGATGAATGGATAAAGAAGATGTGGTATATATATACAATGGAATACTACGCAGCCGTCAGAAGAAATGAAATATTGCCATTTGCAACAATGTGGATGGAACTAGAGGGTATTATGCTGAGCAAAATAAGTCAATCAGAAAAAGACAATTATCATATGATCTCACTGATATAAGGAATTTGAGAAACAAGACAGAGGATCATAGGGAAGGGAGGGGAAAATGAAACAAGACAAAACCAGAGAGGGAGACAAACCATAAGAGATTCTTAATCTCGGGAAACAAACTGAGAGTTGCTGGAGGGGAGGCGGGTGGGAGGGATGGGGTGGCTGGGGGATGGACATTGGGGAGGATATGTGCTATGGTGAGTGCTGTGAATTGTGTAAGACTGATGATTCACAGAACTGTACCCCTGAAAATAATAAATGTTAATAGTAAAAAAAAAAGATTACCTACTTTCTGGCAAAACAGGACTTGCTTTTCTCTCATCGTTTATTTTTAAAAACTATATTCTGACACTTTGATACTCAAAACTTTAGAGGCTTTCTACAGATGTTTTTGGGAAATGATTCAATTTTATGTTAAAGACAATTTTAAAGATTTTCTTTTAGCTTGTCATACAACTGTAGAGTTTATTACATGTTGGATAGGGTGGTGAAAACCTCCTGTGGTAGGAAGCATTTAAACTGACTCCCAATGATACCTACCTCCTGGGGTTCACACCCTTGTACAATCCTCTCCTCTGTATGGGCTAGGCCTAATGACTTGAATCTTATGAAGAGAATACAGGAAACGTGATGGGATGCCACTTCCATGCTTAGGTTAAAAAGACTGTGACTTCTATCTTGCTAGCAGTCTCTCTCTCTTGCTGGCACACTCTTTCTCTTGCCTTGTCAACTTGTAGGCTCTGATGAAGCAAGCCTCCATGTTGGAAAGGTTCACATGGCAAGGAACTGAGAGCGGACTCTGGCCAACGGCCCTGTGAGGAACTGGGGCCCTCAGTTCAACAGCCTGTGAGGAACCGAGTCCTGCCAACACCCTCTGAGTGAACTGAGAAGCACATCCTGCCCCGATTAAACCATGAGAAGCCACCTGCAACCCAAGATGACACCTTGGTTGTGACCTCTGGAGAGATCCTGAAGGAGAGACACCCAGGTAGGCCATGTCTATATTTCTAAAAAGAAATTGTGACATAAAAAATGTGTTTCAAGCAGCTAAGTTTGAGGGTAATGTGTTACACAGCAAGAGATAAACTGTTCTCCATTTTTACCCCATCTTCAAGTTTGTACTGGTCTCTTCCCACATTATTCTGAGTTCCCACAGATGTGAACATGCTTCCACTAGAAGGGGCAAAGAGAACTTCTGCTCGAAGTACACAGATACATTATTGTTGGAGATTTGACCCCAGTGTCTAAATTATTCCCTTAAAGCACCTTTCCATATCTTTATCCCCCCCCCAACATCTTAGTACTCCTCAGAAGTTGCTCCTTTGGTCACTGAAAACACAAAAGACTGTTGGCTGCCTCAGAAACGTATACACGACACAATTTGCCTTCACTTTGTTTTTTCATCATAAAATCTTCTAACCCAAGAGACCCTTTTAAATTTCCAAATATGAATATTTATATAAAGAGCCTAAAGGCTATAACCATGAGAGATAAATTACCCAATTAGGTATTAATATGAATATTACTTAATTCACGGTTTTTAATCATGAATCCTGGGAAAAACAAGTAGTCAACTTACGAAAACATTCTTTGTTTAAAAGTCTACTTAAATGTTGCTTTCCATTTGCTTTTTTGTAAAACTAAGTTTTGAAATTTGGAGTGGTAAGACTTGAATCAAAATTGTATGGAATTATGTCTAATGCCACTATTCTTTCCCACTGCCTAGCACGACTGCTCAGCCTCAAGGAATCACCCTTAAATCCATGGGGGAGATGATAACCATTTACAATTGGTGTAACACATTGATTTGATTATTTACTGCTTCTAACTTAGTAAATCACTTCAGATGATCCTCCATGTAATAAGAGACGTTTTAATTAGAGTTGGCAAAATTCCATATTTTTATGTTCTTTAAAAAAATATTTTGGGGTGCCTGGGTGGTTCAGTCTGTTAAGCGTCTGCCTTCAGCTCAAGGTCACAATCTCAAGGTCCTGGGATTGAGCCCCGCATTGGGGTTCCCTGCTCAGTGGTTGGGGGGGTCCTCCTTCTCCTTCTCCCTCTGCACCTCCCCCAACTCATGCTCTCTCACTCTTTCTCTCTCTCAAATAAACAAATAAAATCTTTTAAAAATTTTTTATTATTTTTAAGGTTTTCTCCTTAGAGAATGTTAATGTCACTGGCTTTTTTTTTTTTTTTTAAATCACCTTGTCTTTGTTGTATGGTAAATGCTTGTCTCTCTCTATTCTCACAGAGTATCTCCAGGCTCACCTCAGACTTTCAGACAGGCAATCTGGTTAAGGCCTTGGATCTCCAGGTGAGGTCTGACCCCTTTGTTTCCATGAAGTCCATGCCAGTTCACCACACAGAAACAACTAGAGCTTTGAAACCTCCAGCCAAAGTGGGTTCTAGGCCTGAGTGCCAACTATCTCAACTCACTCAGACACACAATCACACGCACGAGCACAAAGAATCCTCTTCACACTCCTGCCCGCTGTGCTGCCAAGGGATTTGTCCTCACACAGCCTTCCCCACAGCTGACAACAGGGGCCTGTGCAACATCATCTTTGTACAAATGGAAAAAAGACAGATAATTCTAGAAAAAAGGCAAAAACTAATTTTGGCTTAGTGGCTACTTTGCATTATGTGATAGATACAATCCATTACTAGATGATCATATAGTAATCGAGTCTCAGATGCTAGATCAACAACGCCACAGTGGCTTCTTGTGCTGTGTTGCTAAATCATCCAAAAAGTTAAATGCTTATCAGAAGCCACACCACTGTGCTTGGTAAGCTTCATTAATTATGGACAGTACATATACGACAATGGTTTTCTTATGAAGAACCTCCATACCCTTACTAGGAACAATCATCCCCCTTGTTTCAAATTAGGTGATTTCCTATCTGGAGTTTGGATTCTTTTGTCTAGCGGATTCCCCACCTCTATCACCGAGGAAACTCCATATGCAATATTACAACTCAGCTTCCAACTTCTACTTTTCATTGTTACTAAAAAAAGAAAAATTACAGAATTTTGAAGAAATAAAAAAGCCATGCCTATCACACTACTGGGTATTTACCCTGAAGATACAAATGTAGTGATCCAAAGGGGCACGTGTGCCCAAGTATTTATAGCAGCAATGTCCAGGATAGCCAAACTATAGAAAGAACCTAGATGTCCATCAACAGATGAATGGATAAAGAAGATGTGGTATATATATATATACAATGGGATACTATGCAGCCATCAAAACCCCCGAAACCTTGCCATTTGCAACGACGTGGATGGAACTAGAGGGTATTATGCTGAGCAAAATAAGTCAATCAGAGAAAGACAACTATCATATGATCTCTCGATATGAGGAACTTGAGAGGCAGGGCGGAGGGGTTGTGGGGGGAAGGGAGGGAAAAAATGAAACAAGTGGGATCAGGGAGGGAGACAAACCATAAGAGACTCTTTAATCTCACAAAACAAACTGAGGGTTGCTTGGGGGAGGAGGGTAGGGAGAGGGTGGCTGGGTGATGGACATTGGGGAGGGTATGTGCTATGGTCAGTGCTATGAAATGTGTAAGCCTGACGATTCACAGACCTGTACTCCTGGAGCAAATAATACATTACATGTTAATAATAAATAAATAGATAAATAAAAATTTTAAAAAGCCATGACTAAAATCTATTGGTTTTTATTCATATAGGTATAGCGGTAGAATGCTCCTTGCTGATGAACCCCTACGTCATTTTATGTTTTCAAGTAACTCAATGATATATTTTTTTCTATTAAGAATGGCCTTTCTGGGTTTGTTTTACATTCGCATCTCTGAGTTCAATATATTTCTGAATTCTGAAGTGTTCTTTTGTGTCAGTTTTAGATCTCAAAATCATATTGAACATATTTCTCTATAAACACAGCAAACCAGGATTCTTTGCTAACACCCAGGCTATGAAGTTAAAGACACCCTTTTCTTCTCCTGGACACGTGCCTGCCCTCCTGAAACTTCTGGAAGAAGCTGCTGCCTGTGTTGGTAGCTGACAAAGAGTGAGAACTGGCTTACATGCACACGCACGCGTGCACGCATACACACTTACACGCGCACATGCGCAGGCGCACACCTACCTTTTAGGGTCTCAATGTCATAGAAAGTTGCCGCAAACCTGGTGGCCCGATGGGATGCGGAGCGAGAGTCTGTGCTGGTCAAACTTTTGAGCTTCAGTCGGCATCTCCACAGCTTCCAGTCCTCGAGGTGGGTGATTCGCAGCAGTTCCTCCAAACCAGAAGCTGCCCTAATCTGCTGTTCAGACCGTTCTAATGTTGACCGAGATGCCCGCTTTAAAAAAAAAAAAATACTGGTTTCAAAGCCAGTTACTAAAGTTTTAGTTTGTTTTGATAACCCTCATTGCTGACACTTAAAGATGTAAATAGAACTGAAAAGAAATTAGAGGGATTATTCAGATGCACACCAGTATCTAGGAAAAATACTAGTTAGTATTTCTGATTCACATTCTGCTCATTTATGATTGAATCAAAGAAATTATTCTCCTTGGGGCACCTGGGGGGCTCAGGTCATGATCCCAGGGTCCTGGGATTGAGCCCTGCATCGGGCTCCTTGCTCGGCAGGAAGCCTGCTTCTCCCTCTCCCACTGCCCCTGCTTGTGTTCCCTCTCTCACTGTTGCTCTCTGTCAAATAAATCAATACAATCTTAAAAAATAATAATAAAATAAATAAAAATAAATATAAAAAATTATTCCCCTTGGGTTCTTGGAACAAAAAACAACATCAAAGTGGGTTGAATGGTGGACTTTAAAATGATATGTCCACCTACTAACCCCCAGAACCTGGGCATGTGACTTTATTTGGGCAAAGGATCTTTGCAGATGTCATGAAGTTAATGATCATCAGAGGAGACCATCTGGGATTACCCAGGTGGACCCTAAATACACAGACAAAATGTCCTTATAAGAGGCAGAGGGGGGAAGACATGGGCACAGAAATGTTGTGAAGACGGAGGCAGAAGTTAAAGGAATGCAGCCATAAGCCGGGAATGGCCTGGAGCCCCCAGAAGCTGGATGAGGCAAGGAAGGCTTCTCTCCAAAAGCCTTTGGAAGGAGCACAGGCCTGTCGACACCTTGATTTCACAATTCTGGATTCCAGAACTGTGAGAGAATCCATCTTAATTGTTTTAAGCCACCCACTTTGTGATAATTTTGTACAGCAGCCACAGGAACCAAATACAGGTTTCAAAATCATACTATTTTTGTGACAGGAGCCAGTGACAATTGCTTTCGTCCCTGCGATCTGAGAAACTGGCCCACAAAGTCCCAGGGACCCTGCCTGCAGTCACACGAGACAGGAAGGTTTTAAGATCCTGAGACTTTTTTTGGAAAAACCTGTTTACTATTTCAAAGACATCTTTCTTTTTCTGAGAAAATGCACTTCTAAAGTTTATGTTAAAATTTGCTTTCCACACCGTTGCACGAGCTGTATTGGCTGACACAATGCATGGATTTGTGCATTTGTCATGCACAAGTGACAAATGACCCCGCTAATACAATGTTTTCAGTATGGTAGCTCAATTGTTTAAAATTTGGGGCTAGGTTATATAAACAATGATATTTACATACAATGAAATACTACATGGTCATCAAAACCAGTGATAGAGATATATACTAAGACAGAATGACACAAGCTCCTCCCTAGAACATGCTAGAAAAACCGTATAGGGGTCTGTCCATGGTTGGGGACCCAGATTTTCTCCTGCTGAGCCTGGGGTTACTGGATCTTTGTTTTCCTGGGCAGCTTGGACATGCGGGCTGAGGGGATTTTTAGAGCTGGGTGAGAGGGGAGCCGCAGGACCAGGGCAGCTGCAGGATGGTACTGAGAAAGGTTGACAGAGAGGTGGAGATCGGCTGCCTGCTGCAGGGGTAGGAAGAGAGGGGAAAGAGAGGTGAGCAGATGGGGCCTGTAGGAAGTTTTACACTGAGTGGTGTGATGTGCGCCATCCTCCTCCACTGCCCCTCAGAAACTTTAGTTAAAATCTGCCTCATTCATCAGTATTTTAGGAGTAGGACTTTTTGTTTTTAGATACGATGATGGATACTGAGTGTTGTCCAAAAGTGGGTGCTCAGGGGAGCAAGTGTGGTCCAAGTCATGTATGATTCTGTTATGATGTCTCTTTAATTTATGTGTGTAAGACGTACATGATATATGTATGCATAAACAATTAATTGTTGTTAATCATGTATATAAAATTATATATACAATATCTGGAGGGATTTAGATGAAAATATAAACAATGGTTCCTGCTCTAGATCAGGGGCTGTCAAACTACAGCCCCCTTGCCTAATTCAGCCTGCCGCCTGCCTGTTTTATGAATAAAGTTTTATCGGCACATGCCGAGCACATTCATTTACATATTGTCTATAATGGCAGGG